AAAAAATCAGCTATCAATCATTTCTATTTTGCACATAGTAATTATAAAATCATGATATAATTAAATTTTATTACATTAGAGTTTGTATAGTATTTGAATTCCCTCCATTGATTTGTATAAGTCTTAAAGCTTATATCAGGAAACCTTTTCTTTTCTAATTAATGTTCTTAATTGAGAAGTGATTAAGCCAGATGGCATATAATTAAAATTTCCCTAAGGACTCAGAACCAGGTTAATAAAATTATATTTAAAACTTGATTGATCAGATTAGTTTCAAAATTACCATTTTTCCAATCCCCAAAATTTGATTCCAATCCTTTTTATAAAAGTAGAAACTATTGCTGGGCAATGGTGGCATAGGCCAGCACTTGGGAAGCAGAAACAGGTGGATCTCTGAGTTCAAGGCTGGCCTGGTTTACAGAGTGAGTGCCAGGACAAGCTTCAAAGCTACAGAGAAACCCTGTCTCCAAAACCAAAAAAAATTAAAGTAGAAGCCATTAAAACTAAAGTACTAATGCTACCAGCTACCACAAATGGCAACAGAAACAATCAATCAATAAATAGTTGAAAATCTTGAAACTGGATTAAAATATTTAAATAATTTTTTTAAAGATTTAAATTTTGTATGTCTGTTTTTTGTACACATGAGCGCAGGTACTTATGCAAGCCAGTAGAGTTAGACCCTCCTGAGGCTGGAGTATCCAAAGCAGCTGTATGCCTCTGACATGGTGCTTAGAATTGAACTAAGGTTCCCTAGAACAACAGTTTGAGCTCTTAACTGCTGAGCTATCTCTCTCCCCCTATTTTAAAATTTTATTTTTATTTCATGTGTGTGAGTGGTTGCACACATGTATGTGTATGTACCTGGCAAGGCAAGAAGAAGGTGTTGAAGATCCTGGAACTGGAGTTTGTGGGTGGTTGTGAGCTGCTACTGGATGCTGGGAACTTAACCTGGATCCTTTGTAAAAACAAGCCCCCTTAATATGTTGAAACAGTTTCATGTTTGTCAGACTGGCCTTAAATTGACTATGTAGCCAAGTATGACTTTGAGCTGATCCTCCTGTGACTTGACTCTCTGGTGCCAGGATTATAGGTATGTGTCTTCACACCCAGTTTATGAACTGATGGGTTTGAACCCAAAGCCTCATGGGTGCTATGCAAGCACTCTACTAACTAAGCTACATTTGCAGCCCATATTGTTACTACTTTTTTTGTTGTTGCTGCAATATGTGACTACATAGCTCTGGCTGTCCTGAAACTCACTGTAGACCAGGCTTACCTCAGAGTTACAGATATCTGCCTGCCACTGACTTTGGGATGATGAGGTTAAAGGTATACCACAGCCAATTTGTCTGCTTCTGCCTCCCAAGTGCTGCCCTGTTACTGTTATTCAGGAATTATTTTGTGTATGTGAGTATTTTGCTATGTATATATGAGTACTGCATGTACCTAGTATTTGTGGAGGACAGATACGAGTACCAGATCTTCCAGAGCTCAGTTAGAGGTGGTTGTGAGCTGCTGTGCTGGTGCTGGGCCTGAGTTTCTCTGCAAGAGCAGTGAGCACTCTTAACTGCTGAGCCATTTCTCTAGCTGAACCCAATTACTATTATTTTACAATTATTTACTTGTGCATGTGGGAGTTGATTCTCTCCCTTATGACTGTACGGGCCCTAAGGATGAAACTTAAGTCTTCAGTATTGGCAGCAAGCTGAGCCATCTCACTGAGCCCCCCTTCTCATCATCTTATTTTTTTCAGACAGGTTTTACTATATAAGGGTATCAGTGAACAACCAAAGATTCAACAGGAGTTTAAGTTGTGTCAGAGGCCCTAATAGTGAATTATATGTTAATGTGTGTAATCTGTTGCTCTTGAATTCTAAATCCTCCTGCCTCAGCCTCTCAAATACTGGGATGATTGACATTCACTATCATACTGAGCTTATATAGGATTAGGGGTGGATTCTAGAGCTTTATGAGTGCTAGGCAAACATTTAGCTGAGTCTGATTGTGAAGCCCTCGATGGCCTGGAGCTCTTTGTAGGCAGAATGGCTTCAAACTCATAGAAATCCATCACTCAAGTTTTGCGATTAAAGGCAATCCCACAGTTTCTGTCCCTGTTTTTTTTTTTTTTTTTAAATGTAAAAGTTGTATTAAAAAAAGATTTAATGCAAAAATAGTGAATGGTGGAATGATGTGTTCCACTTAAGGCTGATAAATATAGGCCTCAGAATTTGACCTTTCTATTTAATATTTCTTTGGATTTTTAATACGTATTAATTTTGCTTATAGTAAATCCAGAAAGTGTTTGTGAGTGTATACATGCATGTATGTGTGTGTATACATATACACATATATAAGTCTGTGTATACAGGCAAAGGCTGGAAGAGGATGTCAGGCATTCCATTATTCTGTGCCTTATTCTCTTGACAGTATCTTTCTCTATACTTGGAACTAAGCTGACAGTTGGGGGTTCCAGCTAGAGTTTCAGATGTATGCAGCCACATGCATGTGGCTATGGGGATAGAACTCCTCATGTTTTTACAATTGTACACACAGAAAGTGCTCTTACCCACTGAATAAATATATACTGAATAATATATATACTGAATAAATATATACTGAATAAATAGTTTGTTAAAACAAAACTATACAACAAATGGAAAGTTTTACTATGAAATATGGAATCTGTTATTTGAGATTTCTGGTGCTAAGGATTGAACTCTTGTGAATGCTTTCACATTTGCGATATATGAACCTACTTTATTGTTAGGCATTTGCAATTCAGGAACATTCCAATTTTCTATTTCTTTTGGGTTTTGAGATTGAGCCATTATAAGGTATCACTCTGATAACTATGAAATTGTAAAGTTTAAAAGGAAGATGCCAAGTCAGTTTTAAATATTAATTTTGATACATCCTTTGCATATTTAAATCTCACTGAAGTTTTAGTGCTCTGAATGATGTTTATGTCGTATAGATTTTGAGTCTTAGACTGAACCTCTCGATAATTGACTCCAGAATCAAAGCCTTTGGAAGTTGTAATTGTTCAGATCTTTGAATAATCTAAATTAAAGACATTGTGATAGCTTGAGGGAATGTTTATGGGATAATATGGTAGCTGGTCATTCTTACAACTAAAAGCTTGGTGTAATAAAAAGGAGTCTGACATGGCCGTTGCCTTTTCTCATCTGCAGGTGTGTGTGGTTTCAGCGCAGCATGGCTGTGGTCATCCGTTTGCAAGGTCTCCCAATTGTGGCGGGGACCATGGACATTCGCCACTTCTTCTCTGGATTGACCATCCCTGATGGGGGCGTGCATATTGTAGGGGGTGAACTGGGTGAGGCTTTCATCGTTTTTGCCACTGATGAAGATGCAAGGCTTGGTATGATGCGCACAGGTGGTACAATTAAAGGGTCAAAAGTAACACTATTATTGAGTAGTAAAACAGAAATGCAGAATATGATTGAACTGAGTCGTAGGCGTTTTGAAACTGCCAACTTAGATATACCACCAGCAAATGCTAGTAGATCAGGACCACCACCTAGCTCAGGGATGAGCAACAGGGTAAACTTGCCGGCAACAGTACCCAACTTTAATAATCCTTCGCCAAGTGTAGTTACTGCTACCACTTCTGTTCATGAGAGCAACAAAAATATACAGACATTTTCCACAGCCAGCGTAGGAACTGCTCCTCCAAGTATGGGGACTTCGTTTGGGAGTCCAACCTTCAGCTCTACCATTCCGAGTACAGCTTCTCCAATGAACACAGTCCCACCACCACCAATTCCTCCAATCCCAGCAATGCCATCTTTGCCACCGCTGCCATCCATTCCCCCAATACCAGTTCCTCCTCCAGTACCAACATTGCCTCCTGTACCTCCTGTGCCTCCCATTCCCCCAGTCCCCTCTGTGCCTCCTATGACCCCGTTGCCACCCATATCAGGCATGCCACCCTTGAATCCACCACCTGTGGCACCTCTGCCTGCTGGAATGAATGGCTCTGGAACACCTATAAGTCTGAACAATAATCTGAACCCCGTGTTTTTGGGTCCATTAAATCCTGTTAACCCTATCCAGATGAACTCTCAAAGCAGCGTGAAGTCACTTCCCATCAACCCTGATGATCTGTATGTGAGTGTGCATGGAATGCCCTTTTCTGCAATGGAAAATGATGTCAGAGAGTTTTTCCATGGGCTCCGTGTTGATGCAGTGCATTTGTTAAAAGATCATGTAGGTCGAAATAATGGGAATGGATTGGTTAAGTTTCTCTCCCCTCAAGATACATTTGAAGCTTTGAAACGGAACAGAATGCTGATGATTCAACGCTATGTGGAAGTCAGTCCTGCCACAGAGAGACAGTGGGTAGCTGCTGGAGGTCATATCACTTTTAAACAAAGCATGGGGCCTTCTGGACAAGCCCACCCCCCTCCACAGACACTTCCAAGATCCAAGTCGCCCAGTGGGCAGAAAAGGTCACGGTCAAGATCACCACATGAGGCTGGTTTTTGTGTTTACTTAAAAGGGCTACCATTTGAAGCTGAAAACAAACACGTCATTGATTTTTTTAAGAAGTTGGATATTGTGGAAGATAGTATTTATATAGCTTATGGACCCAATGGGAAAGCAACTGGTGAAGGCTTTGTAGAATTCAGGAACGATGCTGACTATAAGGCTGCTCTGTGCCGTCATAAACAATACATGGGCAATCGCTTTATTCAAGTTCATCCAATTACTAAGAAAGGTATGCTAGAAAAGATAGATATGATTCGAAAACGACTTCAGAACTTCAGCTATGACCAGAGGGAAATGGTGTTAAATCCAGAGGGGGATGTCAGTTCTGCCAAAGTCTGTGCCCATATAACAAACATTCCATTCAGCATTACAAAGATGGACGTTCTTCAGTTTCTAGAAGGAATTCCAGTGGATGAGAATGCTGTACATGTTCTTGTTGATAACAATGGGCAAGGTCTAGGGCAGGCATTGGTTCAGTTTAAAACTGAAGATGATGCACGTAAATCTGAACACTTACACCGTAAAAAGCTGAATGGGAGAGAAGCTTTTGTTCATATAGTTACCCTAGAAGATATGCGAGAAATTGAGAAAAACCCCCCAGTCCAAGGAAAAAAGGGCTTAAAGATATCTGTTCCAGGTAATCCTGCAGTACCAGTGATGTCTAGTGCAGGGATGCCTGCTGCTGGAATTCCCACTGCCGGAATACCCGGTGCTGGGATGCCTGGTACCGGAATGCCAGGTGCTGGAATGCCTAGTGCGGGCATGCCCGCTGCTGGAATACCTGGTGCTGGGATGCCCAGTGCTGGGATGCCTGGTCCAGCAATACCTGGTGCCGGAATACCCGGTGCTGGAATGCCTGGTCCCACAATGCCTGGTCCAGCGATACCTGGTCCAGCAATTCCTGGTCCTGCAATGCCTGGTCCTGCAATGCCTGGTCCCGCAATGCCTGGTCCCGCAATGCCTGGTCCCGCATTACCCGGTCCCGCAATACCCGGTGCCGCAATACCTGGTCCCGCAATACCTGGTCCGGCACTGCCCGGTGCTGGCATCCCCACTGCAGGAGGAGAGGAGCATGTCTTCTTGACTGTAGGATCAAAGGAGGCCAATAATGGGCCGCCATTTAACTTCCCTGGTAATTTTGGCGGGCCAAATGCCTTTGGGCCACCACTTCCCCCTCCAGGATTAGGGGGAGCTTTTGGTGATGTTAGGCCTGTTATGCCTTCAGTTGGAAACAGTGGTTTGCCTGGCCTAGGACTGGAAGTTCCAGGTTTTGGAGGTGCACCAAATAACTTAAGTGGGCCTTCAGGATTTGGGGGGATCCCTCAGAATTTTGGAAATGGCCCTGGTAGTTTAAGTGCCCCCCCTGGTTTTGGAAGTGGACCTCCTGGTCTTGGAAGTGTTCCTGGACATTTGAGTGGGCCTCCAGCCTTTGGGCCTGGGCCTGGGCCTGGTCCAATACATATTGGGGGTCCCCCTGGCTTTGGAGCTAGCTCTGGAAAACCAGGACCTACAATAATTAAGGTGCAGAACATGCCCTTTACTGTATCTATTGATGAAATTTTAGATTTCTTTTATGGTTATCAAGTAATCCCAGGTTCAGTATGTTTAAAATACAATGAAAAAGGTATGCCTACAGGTGAAGCCATGGTGGCCTTTGAATCTCGGGACGAAGCCACAGCTGCAGTCATTGACTTAAATGATAGGCCTATAGGTTCAAGAAAGGTAAAGCTCGTTTTAGGGTAGTTGTTTACATCTGTCCTTTATAGGGTATATCTTCATGTTGCTGTGATTAATGCATCCAGATTGTTTTCCTAGTATTTCCAGGTTAGAGCCTGTGGATTGTTTCAATTGCAGGTAGATGGGTTTCTTTAACACAGAGCATTCGTTGGCTGTTTACAACTCACAGAATAAACATTGCAATTTGTTACAGTAAAGCTATCTGGAGAGAACACAAAAATAATTTGGGCATACCAGTAGAAACCATTTCTAAAACTATGATCATATAAAGCTTATCAAGGAAATTTAGATTGGCTTTCTTTTATACCACATGGGATGAAGAAAATAGAAACATAAGTAGAGTTGGAGGAGGGTGCTCTTGCCAGTTGCTGACAATTAGAAGTTGGCTACTTTTGCAATTTGATTTAAAGTTGGACATATCTGCTTTGTTATAGGGTCAAAGCTTTGTCTAAAACATACATTTTCTTTTTAAATTGAATAAAGTCTGTATATGGATTCATTGTATGTACCTTTATTGCTTCTTGAGGGTTCTTGCTGTATAGACAGTCCTGCTTCAGATGTTGCCACTTTATTTGCCTAATTGACTCACTTGTAATGAGTACAACTATTGGTTTTTAATTAATTTCTAATATAAAATCTCCACACTTGGTTTGTGCTATATAACCCTGAACTTTGATTTCTAATGTCACACTTATGATTGTGTGGAATGACTTTTACCATAAAAATAAAGTATGTAGTCCTCTACTGGCCTTTTTTGGTTTGACCGTCAAGTTTTATTAGTTTAGTAAGTTTAAAATTATTCATATTGTTTGGATGGCAATGAAAACCAGAAACCACTTTGGTAATCAGTGTTTAGGTGCTTGATTTGAAGTCCTTCTCTGTGATGGACTAATCTAGCAAATGGCTTTTGCCTCAATTTAGGTGACATTTTGGAACAAAGGAGTCCATAAGAAAGAGCATTCTATCTTGGGGTTTAAAACTGAAGTTGAAATTGGTAGTTTTGTTAGCAGTAGTCTTGTAGAATGTAAGATCCCTAAGTTGGACCATAGGCTGATGTGTGTTTAATTCTGTGAACTTGGAGGATTTTTGGTGTAGTTGTTCAATCATGAGCCCGTTCACTAATATTCTTTATGAAAGTACAAGTACAGCTATCGGAGGAGAGAACTGGGAATCACTCCTTGCGTTTTCATATCTTTTCCTTTTGGCAATCGGCACCAAGTTAGGGAGCTCACACAGACTTTGGTTGGCTAAATGTCCTTTTCATAAAAGTATTTGGTTTAGCACATCTTGTTCACTGACACTTAAGGCTCTGTCTAGAGTTTGTTTCTTTATTTAAAAATGCTTGAAAGCTGTTTTACATTAACAACACAGAATTGGAGATTAATGAATAATCATGGGAAATCAATTTTACCTTTCATACGACCTTGCTTTGGTTTGAAACACACCAACATTATTTACAAGTCTGTATTTACTTTTAAAAGAGGCATTTCTTGTATATATTTACATGTATGTATATGTGTGTGTGATATACACACACATATAAATATACACACAAAAACATGTATGTCTATACACAATGCCTTTTTGGTGTTCTAAGGCCCTGGACACTGAAACACAGTTTCGTCGTGTAACTCTAGAGTTGAATGGCAACTGTCTTGTGATAAAGTTTGGGAAGCCTATTCACTACTATAGTCTTGGAGGGTTGATAGTGTGGAGTTTTTGTTTAGGGAAAGGATTGTGCAGACTTTGAAAAGAAGTGGCTGCATTGTGAATTACTTAGTAACTCAACAGATAGAATTTGCTTGACAGATAGATACTGCCTCAGAAAGCAGTGTGTTATATGTGAGGTTTTTGTTAAGTTAATCATTTCTCATTCCAAAGACTGATCTTCAGAACTACTTGGGCATCTTATTTCAACTGCAGGCTATTTTCCCCATTGGAAAGCTGACTATATTTTAGAAAAATTGGTTGTTGGAAGGTGAAATTTTTTATCCTTTCTCACAAGTTATTTTGGTTGTATATTCCTACGCACTAAATATTTGGTTCACTCCATTTGCAACTGTTATTTTTTACATCTTAGATAAATGCTAAAAAGAAAAGCTTGGATCTCAACTGTTCATTAAATAAACTAAGAAAATAGTATTGGTGTAGAAATCAGAGAATTGTGTTCTGCACTTCCTTGGATCACAACAGTGGTTGTTGTGAAATGTGATTAAAACTTTGTCCTCTGGAACTTCAGTTTTTGTATAACTGAGACTATTAACAGACCTAACTGCTGAGTATGTTATTTTATCTTGTTCTGGGCATTGACGTTTCAGTTTTGTTTTAATAACCATGAAAATGTGTTCTATGAAACTATTCATATTTCTCGACAGACAAATTTTCTTCAGAACTAGGTTTGGTATAGATTGAATTTATTTGTTTTTGTTTTTTTTTTTTAATCTATATGTCATGAAGGCTTTGTAAAGCTATGCTTAAAGAGTGTTTGTAAACACTTTATCAAGGTATTCTTAATTTTATGTGTAAATCTTATTGTGTGTTTTTGGTGACTTTGACATTAATGGAAGAGAATCTTTTTCATTAGGTTTGTTTTCTCCTGAGTTTTTATTGGTGTTTCTTTTTCTTTTGATTTTAAAGGATTAGTGAAACCTACAAATGTATTTTATAAATAAGCAAATCTGTAAATGTTCTTGAACTTCAGTGACAGATTTAGCTCATAATAAGCATAACTTGGAGGTGTTTTCTGTGATTATACTAGTTTGGATATACAATTATTAGTGGCTGTTGTGGGTTTTGTTTTAATGCAACAGTGTTAGTGAAATGTAGTTCCTGCATTAGGAAATATCAAACTTACAGATAGTAATATTCAGTGTAGTTAAGATCAGTCTTGACCTGCTTGATGAAAATCTAGGAGTATGTACATATTTGGAAGTAAGCAAGCTTACACAGTTTTGGAGGAAATGGTCACTTTGCACAAAAATAAGGAAACACAAAAGCTTACTCAAACTCCATTTTACTGGATTCTGTGATTGTACAAGTGTGTGAAAATAAAATGCACTCAGCTTAAAAGCACTTGAAAAATGAGTGAAGAATGTGTGAAATGACTTGTAGTCTGTTTTGGGGGAGAGTTTCTAGAGGCGATCACTTTGAGTCCTTCCCCACCACAATGCCATGTGTAAGTGATATTTCTTCAGCTGTTTTATTGGCAGTTCTGTAGTCCACACTTTAGAACCCAGTGCAGCCAAGAGGCTGCTGGCAGTGGGACACAGCACTGGCAGGACCACCTCCTTGGCATCACTTAGCAGTTTTGTTTATAAAGAAGAAGTCTTGGATACCGTTCAATAAACTTGTCACAAAATAAAGGCTGATGCTTTGAATGCTTTAATTGCACAAAAGTATGTCTTTGAGCTCCAATACCACTTTGTGGGCTTTTGTTTTTAACTCATGACAATATTGGTGCCTTTGGAAATGTGGACTTGGTGATTTTAGAGGTAAAAATGTTTGTGTATTCTTGTCGCCTAATGCTGAAGTGTGGAGAGAAGAGGATGCCTGGACGGCAGGGAGGAAACTTGATTCTAGGTCAAATCTGTGTGATCTTCGTTTTCAGAATTTTACTTTATTGTGTGTGCTTTGCTAGCTAATGGCTTAGTTATGTGGATTTGGAAAGAACTTGAGGACCAGATACTCCTCCTCACCAGGAGTCTCCAAGGGGGTCTGTGAACTCTCATTTTCAAATGCTGGTTGCAGTGGGGAAGGGTAAAGAAATGCTTGGAGTAGATTCTGAGTTTCACCTACCTAAAGGTTTGCTTTTGTATTCCTATGTGATGGGTTTAAGGTGGGGAAGAAAAGGGAGCCAAAGCAATTGCTGCTTCGTGACATTGCTGTTCTGGGTCTTGTCCC